GTGTCTTGCCCTGCTCCCGCCCGCTGGCACCATCTGTGAGGACTAACAGAAGAACGGCCCTCCTGGGGGTGGCCATGATGCTTGGGCAGAGCCGCAATCTCGGGCCACAGGTAGTGACAGCTCCTTAAACAGGCGTCCGCACGGACTCCCCATATCCTGGCGCTGCTTCATTCCAGGGCCTGTCCAGGCTGCTATGATGCGGCCCCCATGTTAGAAACTCCAGGTTTTCAGGGGGAAATAGTTTCCAGAGATGTTTTCAGGGCCTTCTTACCCTGACCTTCTTTGGCTCTCAGCAAGAGGTCTCTGCGCCCAGGCTCAGCCTCCTCTCCGCCGGAGAGCAGAGCAGGGCGCTGCCCGCAGAGGCCTTCACCCTCCCCGCTCCTCCAGCCCCAGAGCCACTGCGAGACAGGCATTTTCTCGAGAGTTTAGCAGCGTGGGTTGGGTTCATGCTCTGGGCCTGGATGGATGTGGCAGTGGCCCAAGGGTTGTGTGTGTGTGTGTGTGTGTGTGTGTGTGTGTGTGTTTCGTGTCTCAGAAGCAACAGGAATAAACAGGCATGTTTTCTTGGGGCATTTTCACTCAAAGTTTTGGAAAAAGTTCTCGTTTATAAGTAAAACAAACATGAATATACCGTAGAATGGAATGAAAAGCTCAAGTCAATTTTAAAGATAAAATACATGACTTCAAAGAGATTTGCATGGCGCCAGTTTGAGCTACTCCTGCAGGGGCTCTTCTCTGCCTACAGCAACTTGAAGAGTAAGTGCATCAACAACGCACATTTCCTGAGTACATATGTGTGCAAGGCAGTGTGCTAGACCCTGAGGGGGGCAGGCCAGGGGTACCCAGCTCCTGCTCCTGTGCTCTGGGGGGTAGTCTTAGGTCCACGCTCCGCCTCATCGTCACCTTCATCACCACCACCACCACCACCACCTTCTCATCGTCCTGAGCTCCAGAACACCTGCGTCTGTTTTGTTCCCCACTGAAATCCTAGCCTCTAGAACATCGCCTGGTATATATTAGTTCCTCAGTAAATATTTCCTGAACGAGTGCCTCATCATTACATAACCACGCTAACATCTATGGTGTACGTTATTTCCTTTACTGCTTACTGCAGTCCTAGGAGGTGGGAGGGGTAGTTATCTGTCCCAGACGGACGTCGAGAGAGGCTGAACAGCTTCAGAGGCTGTTCACCAAGTAGACGGTAGGATGAGGATATAACCCCAGGCTCTGCAATCAGACCGACGGGGGTCAGAAAGCTGTACCTGTTCCTGGGGAGAGATTCTTAGCTTTTGCTGGATTTTCAGAGAGGGTAGTGGCTCCAAAAGCCTAAACCCCAGTCTGTGTGACTGCAGAGCCTGGGTGTTCCACCTTGACCCATGATGACCTGAGACTCTTGGCACAGTCATCAGGTGGTGGGACTTGAATTCAGAGGGCATGAGCCCTTGAGGCTGGCCTGGTCAGGGATGGCTTTGACTTGCCTTCTCTGCTGGTCATCTGAAACATTCCAGCGTCCAGATACCAGCTAATGCCAGCTGGAGTTGACTGCGTGTGTCCAGAGGTGCGGCCAGCAGGGGGTTTAGACAGCAATTCCACGTTTGCACCGTCTTGGTCAGTGGCCACTTTGACTTCTGGTGCTGCCCAGGTGTTTCTGCACACGCTACGGCCATGCTGACCCGGAGGGGGTATTGTAGGGTTTCCCCTGTGATCAGGAGCCTGCTGGGGTCACCTGCACAGCAGAGTCACAAGGCTGCCCTGGAGGACTTTCCCATCCATTATGGCCACCACTTCCTCAAACCTCCCGGAGGCCCTGCTGGAAAACACCAGGTTGGGATCCTCATGCGTCTGGCAGAGCCACGGTTCTGAGGCTGCAGGGATGGCGCGCTGGAGGGTGTTGGGTACCCGGATGCAGCCAAATCTCAGGGCTGGACAGTATGTGAGTGTCCGGTGGCTATTGCAACAAATCATCCCAAACAGGGAGCTTAAAACGATAGGAATTTATTCCCTCCAAATCCTGGAGGCTGGAAGTCTGAAATCAAGGTGTCAGCCGGGAGCGTCCCCTCTGGAGAGAGGCCCTGGGGAGGCCCTGCCTGCGCTTCCGGCTCCTGGAGGCCCCAGTGTGCTCGCGCTCCGGCTGCTACTCCAGCGCTGAGCCCCCTCTCCGCCCTCACGCGGCCTGCCCCGTGTGTGTCTGATCTCCGTCCCCTGTCTTTATTTATAAGGGTGCTTGGTATTGGATTCAGGGCCACCCTACTCCAGGGGGACCTCATCTTAAGTAAGTACATCTGCAAAGACCCCATTTCCAAATAAGGTCACATTTGCAGGTCCTGGGGTTCAGGACTCCAACAACTTTAACATATCTTTTTTTGGGGACACAATTTAACCCCGCACAGATGGCACTGCTGCCCTCAGGCCATCTCTGCAGATGGCACCAGGCTTGCCAGGTCTTGCCCATGCCTGGTAAAAACAAACTACCAGAGCATCTGAACTTGAACTCGTCTGAGGAGTTAGCCTTTTCCAGAGAGCAAGGGGGGCTTACTGCCCCTGACCCTGCCGTGACTCCGTCTTCGTCATGCCACTGGGGTTTCTGGTGGGGACCATCATCCCCCGGGGATTCAGCTTCTCCTGAGCCCAGATACTCCTGGACCTTTAGCTTGCAGGAGCCACTAAATCCTTTCCTCTCCTTTATTTGCTCAAGCCAGTTTAAAGTGATTTTTTTTGGTCATTCATAACAGAAAGAACCCACCTGAAACAAACAGGTTCAGAGACTTCTGGCACTACCACCCTCTGAGAATCCACCAGAAGCTAGGAATCCTCTCCCACAAATACGTACAAGCACATACAATTTGCACGTGCTCGAGCCCACAGGCTTAGGACCTCCTCCTTCCCGGACCTTGTAGGGACCAAGCATGTCAGGCTGAAATCAATTTGAAGAAAAGGCTGAATGTGCTCTGGAGCCCACACTGCAGTCTTTCCAAGTTCTGAGGTCAGATGAGACCGAGGCGTCTGCCCTCCTCCCAGACCTGGAGGAAGTGTGGAAGTGTGGAAGTGTGGAAGTGTGGAAGTGTGGAAGTGTGGAATATCTGTGTTTTTACCTCCTGCTCTGATCTGGACGCCTCCTATCTCTGACCCCGGGGTTTCCCAGTTACGTGGTTCTTCAAATTCCTTTTCTCTCTGCTTAGAAAGTGGGGCCGGGCTTCTGCTGCTTGTGGCTGAGGAGCCCTGGCTTCAGCGAGAGTCGACTTAGGGACCTGTACCTCTGGGGAACCTTTTAACTGTGGGTCTAGTCCACGTCCCCCTGTTCACAGCTAAAAAGCCCCAGTTGAGAGAGGTGAGCTCTGCCGGTGACCAGTGGCCCCGTGCCCCGGAAAGGTGTTTCAACTCAGCACAGTCCCTGAAACATTCCCTCGGGACCCAGCCCCCATCCCACACCTAAGACAAAACACAGCCGGTGGGCGGGCGCTGGGATATGGACCCCAGGAGATCGCGTCTGTACTGCCCCCACACAGAGCCTGCTGTCTCCGGATTCTGCTCATGAACACTGGTGTTGGTCACAGGCCACAAGGTCCTCCACGAGTATTTTCAAGTATTAGCACATAAGCAGGGACTGGCTGAACGCTGGCCTATTTACATTGCAGGTGAATTATGTATTTTTGTCTATTTTCAGAGGACTGTCCACATGATAAAGACCCCCCTAGGTCTTAGAGTCAGAGAAGCCGGTGCTGGTGTCGGGTGTCTGGGAAGCCTCACCTTCTCTGCTCTTGGCCTTGAAAACCATGGCAGATTCCTCGTGTCCTGGCTGCTGTGTCAGCACAGCCTGTGCCTCCCACGGTTCCTGTAAAGCTGGGGCAGGAGGTGCACATTTGGGGGTCAGCCTGGGTAGGCCCGTGAGCAGGGGCCCGAGGGGGTTGTGGCGTGGCCCCCTACCCAGCGGCCACGCGTGTTCCTGAAATGCCTTGCTGCTCCTTTCTGTGTGCCAGGCGATTGAATCCTGAGGTGGTTGGGGTAGAGTGGAGCCCTGTGTCTTTGATGCAAAGGCCACCGGCCACTTGGCCCATGTTTACTCTGCGTTAGGGACACATTGTTGCTGAGCGCACTGGGTCTGTGCACTTTGTTTTGTGCCTGTAAGTTATTGTTTCAGACATGCACAGTTGTGTAAAGGATGATGCAGTGAACCCTTGGCCCCATCATCGATGTTACTTGGGGCTCCTCCTCAGTCTGTCACCCTCCCACTGCCCGCCACCCCGCCAGAAGCAACCCTGTCTGCGACACAGGTGATTTCCCCTGTGGGCGTTTTTCTCCACCACTGGCCATTTCCTTCCCAGAGGGGGAACCTCAAGGGCGGCTCTTCGCTTTTCCACAGTTCCCCTGACCTCCTGTGCCTGCAGTCCTCCGGGTGGCCTTGGAGGGGCTGGGCGCCTGCGACAGTGCAGGGTGGACCTGTGTGGAGGAGTGTCCTGGTTCTGGCTGACCCCCTGCCTGCTGGACTGGGTCAACTCTGTCACCTCCCTGAGCCTGCAGCAGGTTTCTCTTCTGAACACCTGGGGTCACAGCAGGCCCACTCAGGGCAGTCGGGGAGGAGGGAACCGGTAGACCCCTCCTCTGAGCAATGGGAAGCCTGGGTAAATACTCATGTGACCTCCAGACACTGATGCCACTTCCCAGGGAGATGCAGTGCGGGGGCAGCCTCCGCCCTGTTCTTGGGGAGCTCTGGGACTTGTCCCGCCATCTTGGAGGGGCTGTTGTAGCCTCTTTGCAAACTGACAGTGCTGGACTCTTTCCCCAAAATTAAAAGCAAAAGAAAGGGGTTTCTTCATAAGCTGTTTAGCAACCCAGGGAGGGAAAAAACAATCAGAGACGTGGAAACAGCTCTGGGGGGGTCTGCTGTGCAGGGAGCCGGCGCTTCCCTGTGGTGAGCCCACAGAGCCCCGCGCCGCATGCTGCAGGAGCTGTGCCTGCCCGGGAAAGGGGAACAGGAAAAGCATGGCGGGTTGAGCAACTCTGAGCCCAGATTGGGGTCGAGCAACCACAGGCCCAGGATACCAAGGCGGCCAGCGATTGCACAGGAAGCACGCCCCTTCTCTGCCAGGTGGGCGCCTGGGGGTCCTGCACACTGGCTGGGCTGGCCTTCACGAAGGCCCAGGGGCTGGGGCCCGTTGTACACCGCCCACCCAGGAGCCGCAGGGGTGGGGGCCAACTTCAAACGAGAGGGTCGGATGGGTGGGGGCAGAGTGTCCTGGGGCCCCCCGCCCGGGCTTACAGATCTCCCCTCAGTACTCAGGCCGCAGCCCAGGAAGCTGCCTGGCCTCTCCTGAAGTTTGTCACCTTGTCACTGGGGATGCTTCCCATGGTTGCTTAACATCCTCTCTCCATGACTGCCTGGGGCCATATGTCATTTATTTCTAGAAACTATACAAATAACTCTATCAGAGAAAGTTTAGAAAAAAGCAGCAACATGTACCCAGTTTCCCACCATCCAAATACTGTAGCTATTGCAATTTTGGTATATTTCCTTCCAGGCTCTTTTACCTAATGCATAATTTTGCATATAATGTAAACACAGCGTAGATGTAATTGGAGAGCCAGCTCTTTGCCCAAACCAACTGCAGGAGGGGCTTCCTGCGGCCATGGTTTTCACATTCATCCTCTCTGGCCCAGTGTATTTGGGCTGTTGCTGTATCTGCAAGTTTTTAAGAAAGTGTTTTAGTGTGGAAAAATTTCCAGTGTACACCAGAGTAGAGTGAACAGTAGGAGAAATCTCCGTGCGCTCTCACGCAGTTTCAACACCATCAGTGTGTGCATCTCCCATCCTGGAATTCTTATTTTATCTTATTGTGGTAGACTATGCAACACATAAAACTGACCATTGTAACAGTTTTTAAGTGTTCAGCTCAGCGGTGTTAAGTACATTCACACTGTTGTGCAGACATATCTCGAGGCCTTTGTCAT